CAAATTGAAATTGTGCTGATGGAAGCCTAGAGCTCAACCTCCCTGGGATCAGAGAAACAACCTAAACCGCTGCTAGCCTCACTCCAAATGCAGCCTATGGCGGGGACAATTCTAACACAGATCCCAAGATTCCCACCCCCTCGTCTGCAGGCCTTATATATCCCTTTTCCCCTGTGAGGTGGGCCTGACCTAATCAGATGAGCCTTACAAAAGAGGGTCTAGAGGTCAGAGTCAGAGAAATTTGAAGCTTCAGTATACATATTCAGGATGTTGGTGTGTGTGTGTGTTTATACATATGTAACATTTTTATTTTCAAATATTATATAAATGGAATCATGCATGGCATGCAAATTTCTAAGACTTTTTTTCAGTCAGCAAAATTTCCTCAGGATTTATTGAAGTTGTGTATATCAATAGTTCTTTTTTTTTATTGCTGTATATTATTCCATGATATATATGTAGCACAATCTGTTTAACCATTCATCTGCTGAAGAATATTTTGGTTGTTTCTGTTTTTTGACTATTATAAATAAAACTGCTAAATACTGCTGTGCAGGCACTATAAACATTGGTGTACAGGTATGTGTGTGAACATTGGTTTTCATTTCTCTGGGATAAACTGCATTGCTGGGTTGGATAGTTAAGTGCAAATTTAGTTTTAGAAAATGTCAAGCTATTTTCCAGAGTGGCTGTACCATCTTACATTCCTACCAATCCTCTCCAGAATTTGGTGTTATCACTATTTTTAATTTTAGCCATTTTGACAGGTGTGCAGTGATATTTCATTGCGGTTTTAATTTGCATTTCTCTAATGGTTACTGATGCTGAACATTTTTTTTTTTTTTTTTTTTAAAGATGACCGGTAAGGGGATCTTAACCCTTGACTTGGTGTTGTCAGCACCACACTCAGCCAGTGAGCGAACCGGCCATCCCTATATGGGATCCGAACCCGGGGCCTTGGTGTTATCAGCACCGCACTCTCCCGAGTGAGCCACGGGCCGGCCCGATGCTGAACATTTTTTCATGTGGTTATTTGCCATATGTATGAAAAGTCTCTTCATGTCTCTTGCCCATTTTCTAATTAGATTGTTTGGTGAAATGTCTCTTCATGTTTTTTGCTCATTTTCTAATTAGGTTTCTTATTTCTTTACTGTTGACTTTTTTTTTTTTTTTTTTTTTTTAAAGATAACCGGTAAGGGGATCTTAACCCTTGACTTGGTGTTGTCAGCACCACGCTCTCCCAAGTGAGCTAACCAGCCATCCCTATATAGGGATCTAAACCCATGGCCTTGGTGTTATCAGCACCACACTCTCCTGAGTGAGCCACGGGCTGGTCCTTACTGTTGAGTTTTGAGAGTTCTTATATTATAGATTCAAGTGCTTTGTCAGAAATATGGTTTGCAAGTATTTTCTCCCAGTATATGTAGCTTGTCTTTCCAGCCTCTTAACACAGTTTTTCAGCGCAAAAACTTTTGGTTGTGATATGGTCCAATTTACCATTTTTTCCTATTATGGATCATGTTTTTAGTATCAAATCTAAAAACCTTTTGCCTAGCCCTTGGATGTGAAGATTTTCTCCTATACTTTTTCCTGGAAGTTTTATAGTTGTATTCTTTACCTTCAAATCTGTGATCCATATTGAGTTAATTTTTGTATAAGATGTGAGGTTTAGGTCAAAGTTCATTTGTTTGCCTTGGTTGTTCAATCGCTCTGGCACTAAAAGGCTATCCTTCATCCACTGAATTGCCTTTGCACCTTTGTCAAAAATCAGTTGGACATATTTATGTGGTTTTACTTCTGGGTTCTATAGGTCAATCTATCCCACTGACAAATGTGTCTATCCCTCTAATAACCACAAAGTCTTGATTACTGTACCTAAATAGTAAGGCTTAACATGGGGTACAGTGATTCCCCTTATTTTATTCCTCTTTTTCAAAATTCTCATAGCCATTTTAGAACCATTGCCTTTTTCATATAAAGTTTAGAATAAGCTTGTCTATATCTACAAAAATGTCTTGCTGTAATTTTTAAAAACTTTTTAGTGTCACCAAACAACACCCCCTCTCCCTGACAACGCCCTGCTAAATTTGACTGGCTTTAAAAAAACAAACACAAAACAAAACTTTTTTTATTGTGTTAAGATATATATAACATAAAACTTATCAATTTAACCATTTTTAAGTGTACAATTCAGTGGCAATTACTCCATTCACAATGTTGAGCAACTATGACTACTGTCTACTTCCAAAGCTTTTTCATTACCCCAAACAGAAACTGTAACGACCATGAAGCAATAACTCTCCATTTACTGCTAGCCCCACCACTGGTAACCTCTACTTTTTGTCTCTATGAATTTGTGTATTCTAGAAATTTCATGTAATTGAAATCATACAATATTTGTATTTTTGTGACTGGCTTACTTCACTTGGCACAATGCTTTCGAGGTTCACCTGTGTTATAGCATATATCATTCCTTTTTAAGGCTATATAATATTTCATTGTATATATACACACTACGTTTTGTTTATCCATTCATTTGTTAATAGATATTTGGGTTATTTCCACCTTTTGGCTATTGTGAATAATGCTGTTATAAACACTAGTATAAAAAAAAGAGGTTATATAAGCACAGAGGCTGCAAAGATTGGATAAGAGAATAGTATGAACAAGTTTATATGAATACATTTGAAAACATGAAGTAAATTAATATTTAGAAAAAAATTACTAAAAGTGACTCAAATAGAAAGAGAAAAATCCCAAATATCCTATAACTATTAAAGAAGTTGAATCAGCAGCTAACAAAATATCTCCACAAATAAAACACTAGAATCAAATTATTTTACTGAAGAGAGTTACCAAGTACTCAAGGTTCCGGTAATTCTAACCTTACATCTCTTCCAGAGATGAGAAAGAGAGAAAGCTCCTCAAATTATAATTACTAAAGGTTAGTTTAACCTTGATATCAAAACTATAACAAGGACAGGAAAGGAAAATTATTGGACATTCTCACTCATAAAACAGACACAAAATTCTTTTTTTTTTTTTTTTTTTTTTTGACCGGTACGGGGATCGCAACCCTTGGCTTGGTGTCGCCCGCACCGCACTCAGCCAGTGAGCGCACCGGCCATCCCTATATAGGATCCGAACCTGCAGCGGGAGCACCACTGTGCTCCCAGCATCACACTCTCCCGAGTGAGCCACGGGGTCGGCCCCAGACACAAAATTCTAACCAAAAATATTAGCAAACTGTATCAAACAATGTTTAAAGTAAGGAAATAATACATCATGCCCAAGTTGGGTTTATCTCAGGAATGCAAATGATTTTCAGGCCCTGGCTTGTGTAACAAGGTGAATGGTGGTGACATTCACTGAGAAAGGAAGCATAAGAGTTAGGGGCAAAGATCACAAGAATAACCATGCACCAAGTGTAGGGAGCTTGTGAATATCCAGACAGAGACATCTAGGTAGCAACTGAAAATACTGCTCTGTATATGTTAGGTTGAGACAGGGCACTGAGAATTGCCAGCATAGACATGGTACCACAAGCCTACAAGTAAAATGGAATTACCCAGGGAAACTGTGTAGAGTGAAAAGAGAAGAGGATCAAGGCCTGAATCCTAGACAACCCCAGTGTTTAAGGAAGAGGATTCCCTAAAAAGAACAGCCACAGAATCAGGGAAAGAAAAGACCAGGAAGGCAAAGAAAGATAGTGACTCAAGTCACGCAATAAGAATGAGAAGGGGACTGAAGAATTCAGTCACTGGAGTCCACTTAGACAGGGTGGTTTCAGGATGTGAGGAGAGAAGGAGCCAGACTGTTGTGGGTTGATGGGTGAATAGTCAAGAGAAATAGGGAATGTAGTCAATGCTTACAAGAAGACTGGCTGAGGAGGGAACTAGAGGGAAGCAGAGAGTGTACAAGAGCAAAGGAAGAAGTAGATTAGAGTATTAACAAATTTGTACACCATTTAGACAGGGAAAAGGAGAGAGGGTAGTGAGCAAAAACACAACATGGTTCCGATCCTCTATATTCCACAAAGGAAAAGATTGATTTTTCTTTAGTCACAGTCCCCAAGGCATGAAGACATAACCATCAGAACTAGTTTTCAAACCCATTCTAATTGATCTGTGATGACTTAATTCAGTTGATCATGCTTCTGAAAGTCTTCAAAAGGCAACAGCCCCAGTCCAGTGACCACACTTTCATGGCTAAAGGTGAACAAGTCCTTGAAAGTTCACTCACCCCTGACCTCCACATTCACCCAAAATGAAGGAGGTAAGAAGCAGAAAGTATTGAAGCAAGGCCTCACAGGACATGAATACAAACAGCTCAAATGGGGCCATGGGTCTTCGGAACAGAGGAAAGGAGCAGGTTGACAACAGAGGGTGCAGCATGCAAAACAAACCCTCACAACTACCCCTTCAGGTCACATGCACAGAGAATCTGAGACTAGGAGGGGCTACATGACTTGTACAGAAGCCAGGAATCAAACCACATCTGTCCAACTACAACACCTATGCTCTTAAACAGGACCTCACACTGCCTCCTGTTAACCCCATCTATCCCCCTTTAAACTCTGACAGCATTTTGAGGATCTTTTCATATGTCACTTTCCACTCTGGCTTTCACTGGTTATGTGTGTGTCTGTTTCATTTAGACCCACTTTAATCACTCTAGAATAGAAGCTCTTTGTTCAGCCCTACGGGCTTTTACATGGCAAGCTCTCAATGAAGAAATGAGTACATTTGTAATTATCAAATCTCTTATATGCTAACTTGCTTTCAAAAGTGCATATAAATTTCCTTTGTAAGTGATATAAGTCATCCCCACTACAATCTTCTTTATAGTATGCATGTGCTCAGCTCTCCTTTGCCATATATATTACAAAGGTAAACCAAAACTATACATCTCATTTACCACAAGTTCCAAAATAGCGAATTTAGTCTTCACTAAAGAGATTTACCACCTTTGCAGGTGCGAAACCAAAAAGCACTTCTTACCTGAATTTTGATGGGCCAGGTGAAATTACTGACATAAACAAAGAAAGTGATATTTGGGTGGTTGCGAAAATCAAACTTCTCATTAGAGAAGCTATCTTTGTATTCCTTAATGTTGGTTTTTGAAACAACAGGCATCTCTTCTCCAGCCTGGGTTCCAGCTGTTAGGAAGAAAAAAATGAAATAGAAGAGAATAGAAAAAAATGAAACGGAAAGACAGGATCTGCCCTCATTAATAATAAGGATAATAGTTAGCATTTACTAAACACTTACTATGTTCCAGGCACAGCCTTTAAGAGCTCAATCTCATTTAATCCTCACAACAACCCTATTATTATCCTCATTTAAAGATTAAGAAACTGTGGTTCAGAGAAATTAAGTAAATTGCCTCAGGTCAAACAGCCAGCAAGAAGTGGAGTTAGGATTTGAAGCTGGGCAGGTTGATAAGCAAGCCTGTGCCCCTAACCACAATGGTTTTACTAGGAACCCCTGCAAAATCCCCTTCCCCACTCCCCAAAACAGGCTACATGTGGCCATGAAACTACAGATAGCCCTAGAATCCTATTACCAAGAAATGGCATTCCATTCCTTTGCATTTCCCCTTTACACCTCTTTGGCAATGCTCCATCAGATTCCTGTACAGGGACACTGACTCACCCCCCACTTCCTAACCAGCAGCAACCTCAAGTCTCAATAGTAGCAGGGAGGAAGGGACTCAAGGGGTCACTCAGTCCTCCCTACTGCTACCAGCCACGACTGTATTTAAGTGCTCCCCGATCTGGTATAACTCCATCCTGTTCTCAGAGAGTCTTTCAACATCCCATATTCTCCCTCAGCCAGCAATTCAAGTGTCTATAAAGACTCATGAAATGGACGTTTTTCCATGTCTGAGTTAAACCCTGTGACTAAAGCCTAAACTGTCACATCTTTTTTTTTTTTCCCTTTTTGTCTTTTTTCGTGACCGGTAACGGGATCGCAACCCTCGGTGTCGCGCCCGCACCACGCTCAACCAGTGAGTGGACCGGTCTCTATATGGGATCCGAACCCTCGGCGGGAGTGCCGCCACGCTCCCAAGCGCCGCACTCTACCGAGTGTGCCACCAGGCCGGCCCTAAACTGTCACATCTTCATTGAGACAGTCACTGCAAATCTTTCACATGCTCAGAGATGCTGCCTTTCTCCAGACAAATACTCTGATAATTCAGACTTTGTTCTTTTTTTTTTTGTCTTTTTCCGTGTCCGGCAACGGATCGCAACCCTCAGTGTCGCCCCCGTACCGGACCGGGGACCGGCAACGGGACTGCAACCCTCGGTGTTGCTCCCGCGCCTCGCTCAGCCAGTGAGCGGGAACCGGTCTGTATGTGGGATCCGAACCCTCGGGCGGGAGCGCCACCGCACTTCCCAAGCGGCACACTTATCCAGTGCACCACCGGGCCGGCCCAGACTTTGTTCTTAAAAGTCTCTCCTCATTGAAAGTTTCTGAACTTCTTCCAAATTCTACACAATCTTTTAAGATATGATATACAAAGTGGCATGCAAAGGTAATATTCTTATTTCACAGTCTAATTGGTTTGTATTTTGGCCAAAAAAAAAAAAGCATTGAAGTAGTAATAATAGTAATTAAACAATTACCATTTAGTGTAAATTTACCATGTTTCAAGCATTACAATGAGTACTTAGTTTATTATTTCATTTAATCCTTACAATACTCTACATAGCTAGGTGTTTTTACTATCCCGTTTCATACATGAGGAAAATGGTTCAGAAAGCTTAAGTAACTTGCTAAACAGCACAGTGAAAGTACATAACAGGTAGAATTCAAACCCAGGTCTATCATCAAGTTATGTAGTGGTTATCTGTCTTAACCACTACATCAGAGTCATCCTTTATTTCTTCTGTAGATTTTCTGCCCAGCAGATCTTTAGTGAATCATAGTAAGACAAGGAAGATAGCAAAAGCTATGCTATGAATCACTAAAGAGCTTGATTTAATTTCCAAAGTACCTACTAAAATCTCATTATATTTAAAATATTTTCATTTCTTGAAACTATGAGTCATCTGAATTTTTCACTTCTGAAGCATGGATGTAGATGATGATGGTAGCACTAGAGTAGTGGCCAAAGCAAGGGTATAAGTGGTGATAGTAGGGTAGGTACAGTAACCATGTTACTGAGCCTGATGTCACAGTACATATTGGTATGCTACAACCTAATTTAATCTATATAATTCTAAGAGGTAAGTATTGATATCCCCATTTCACAGATGAGTAATCATAAAATCTAGAGAGGGGTTTAGATACTGCTCAAGGTCTCACAGCTAAAAGTGGCATCTGTCTGTCTCCAGAGCCCCCTTTCTCAACCTGTATATTACATTTCTCAATCTATTACCTCCACTCAGAGGGTCTTCTTTAGGTGTGTCTTTACCTGAGAAGCTGGCAGCCCAAGTGATGTTGAGGTTGAAGTTTTTGGAGGCATTAATGAACATATCCAAATCCCTGTTTTGCTGATGAAAGGAACAAATAATTAGAAAATTAATTATGACAGTTTCCAGATTTTAAAATAAAGCAATAATTAAATTTTACTATTCTCGACTTTCTTAATGACAGAATATTTTACAATGCCATAAGAGAAACTCACACTTATAGAAGAGTTAGCAAAATGTCTAACTAATTTGCCTCAATATAAGTAATATATCCCAAATAAAATCTCATTTCCCTCCCATAAAAATATATGGAGCTCAATTCTTTATCAAATGCCTACCTCCATGAAAAAGCATCTTTTAAAAAGACCCTTGTCTGAACACAATGATTTACATCTTCTGACCTATATAGGGGAATAAGCCTCCTGAAGATGCTCTGGGAAACCATTTCCAAATGTGTGGAGTTTACTCGTACCAGTAAAATATTTGATCAAGTGCCCCAATTTATATTTATTTATAACTTAAGCCCACGTGCTTCTGAATTCATAGATTATATAGTGTAAAATCTCTCCAAAACTGGGAATAATTTTTTTTAAAAGCATATAAAACTAAAATAAACTATATTTCTAAAAAGTCTTTGATAAAATTCATTTGTGATTTGAAAAACATTTTTTTTTCTCATTAAAAATATTATTTCAAGAGAGTGTGACCGAGTATCCTTTCTTAGCTTTGAAAACCCTGTTTACCACTTAGGGATACAGGAATTCAAAGGGCTACTCTAACTTCATTTATTTTGAGTCTTGGTTTTAATGACTAAAAAAGATACCTCTGAGAAATCTGTTGAGCCAAACAAAAGAAGTGCACTGTTCGCTATGCTAGGCAAATTATGATACTAATTTTAGTTTTCACTGAAATTTGACTAGAAACTTTCTTGGAAGGTCAAACAATTACTTTTGCAAACTAATCAGATGTTGTATTTTTATATTTTACAAATGGATCCAATTGTGCTGAAATTCTTCATTATAAAACATCATAAAATAGGTTAGAAAATTGAGATTTTTCCTTTTTTTTTGTCTTTTTTCGTGTCCGGCAACGGATCGCAACCCTCAGTGTCGCGCCCGTACCGGACCGGGACCGGCAATGGGATCGCAACCCTCGGTGTTGCGCCCGCACCTCGCTCAGCCAGTGAGCGGACGGTCTGTATGTGGGATCCGAACCCTCGGTGGGAGCGCCACCACGCTCCCAAGCGGCGCACTGTAGCAGTGCGCCACTGGGCCGGCCCAGAAAATTGAGATTTTTAAGGGTGTTGTTCTGATAGTTCTTATAGCACAAAATCATAACAATGGAAACACTTCCAAACAGCTATTTTCAAAATGTGATCTTCAAACCAGAAATTCTCTCACAAAGCAGTTACACCTTTTCATTCACTGATAAAGCCTCACCTACATCTTGAAAGGATAGTTCAAGTATTTATTTATTTTTTTAATTAATTAATTAATTTGTTTGTTTGTTTGTCTTTTTCGTGACCGGTAAGGGGATCGCAACCCTTGGTGTGGTGTCACCCGCCCCTCACTCAGCCAATGAGCGCACCGGCCATTCCTATATAGGATCCGAACCCATGGCGGGAGCGTCACTGTGCTCCCAGAACCGCACTCTCCCGAGTGCGCCACGGGCTCGGCCCTATTTATTTATTCATTTATTTATTTATTTTATTTGTGTGTGTGTGTGTCTTTTTTGTGACCGGTAAGGGGATCACAACCCTTGGCATGGTGTTGCCCGCACCGCGCTCAGCCAGTGAGAGCAACGGCCATCCCTATATAGGATCAGAACCTGCGGCGGGAGCGCTGCTGCGTTCCCAGCGCCGCACTCTCCCGAGTGAGCCAGGGGTTTGGCCCAAGTATTTATTTATTTATATTTAATATTTGCTGGCAGCACACAACTAACAATTACTTCTTTCCACGGAAAGAATCAATAAACTTGAAATCCTTGTGCTCTTGTAAAAGAACACACACATTTGAATAACTTTATTAAGTATTCTGTTATAAAATAAACAGGGAAATCCAGAGAAGTCCAAAAACTTTCATGGCCACTCCCCACCTTGTTAAGAAGTATCACAATGGTTCTACTATATTTATTTTTAAAAGTAAAATTAACATCAATTACATCCTGAAAGACTTTGAGTACTTTACCTACTTGCTTATGAATGAGGCACTGAATACATTTCATGTGTGATACTTTTTGCTATTACCTTATCCTAAAATCTTGGTTTTTTTAAAAATTCCAGTCAATGCAGCCAATAAAATGATATACCTATACAGTTTTCACACAAAATATTTTCATTTAAAGTCATTTATTATTTTTTCTTAAAAAGCCATTCACTCTTGAGGCTATATCTTCTCTAGTATATCTTTTCTTAATTTCATCAATGAAATGGAATATTAAAAACAAGTCTTACTTTCACTGAATTGTATAATAAACATACCACACTTCGGTCTTGTTCTACCACTTTTTAAAAAAATTTAGCTATGTTTACTGATAACATTTGTTAACAAAGAAATACATTTTGGCTTATTACTATATTGTTTTCCATGTATTATTTGTTACATTTATTGTGCCAGGATTTTTGAAACGGTAAATAGTTTTGTGTATATTGATGAGAAGGCTCCTAAATAATTTGCCATCGAGTTTAGTAAAATTTCTGTAAGTACTGGAGTGGGTATTGAATGACTTTATATTTCACTGAAGAAATTGTACAGGTGTGTCTTCATGTTCTGGATGCTTTGCTTTTAAATGTCATGCTGTGTTGCCTTGCTTCCCTTCTACTACTAAGTGATACTTTATGGCAGGTTGGGCTTCATCATTAACTACAGCAGATATAATTCCACCTTCCAAATAGTCGTTCCAACTATTTAAATTATTTCTGGCCAACTTCTTGTTGGACCTGACTAAACCTTTGTTTCTTTCCTTCCTAATGAGGCTAAGAACTCATTCTAGAAGTGTGACCTCTGCCACCTCCCTTGCTTGTCCTTACATCACTGGCATTAATTTCAACTGGCAGTTTCTTCTTGGGTGTTTTTAAAGCCTCTGGTCTGTACTGAGAGAGTAAATCTGGGCTCTGGGCTCTGCTATCTGCCTTTGATGGTGAAGTTCCCCTTGCAATCTCCACTCCTTTTCTATATGGGGCTATGATGGGCTGACAGGCAAACCAAATATGTTTTGGAGTCCATGTCAGTCTGTATCAGATACTGGTGAATCTTATCAACACCATTCTTGCCTTTAGATGGAAAGGAGATAAAATGTAGATTCTGACATTTCTTTCCTGCACCTCTAAAGATCATTTTGTGTACTATACTCTGCAGACCACTACTAAGGCAGTACTGTACTAATATCTATAATGACCAAGAAAAAGACCCACATAAATTCAAAACAAAACAGGAAGACTTTCAAAAATCTTACTTCATCAGGAGTAGCCACAAAATTGATGGCTGTGTAATAGCGGTCATCTTCTTGGGATAAGCTAAAAGTGAACTGGTAGTCAATAAGAAGAGTATCTATGGAAAAAAGAAATGAATATTTAAAAACTGAAACAAAACAAAATAGAACAGGCTGCTTTTCTCATAAATTCAATTGCCAAGGAAGCACACTGATTTACTCACACCCAGGTTTTTCAAAGGAAATCAAGTCTGTAAGCAGTAACAATTTATTTGGGTTAACTAACCACCAAAACCTTCTTTATATCATGACTGTGGTTGAGATTTTAAGCTTAAACCGAACTCACCTACAAATATTAATGGAACATCTATGGCATGCTAGTTTGCATAAAGATACAAAAATATAAATTAATGGTGTAACAGAAAGCAGGACTGCATGGAAAAATGGTTGATTCCAGGTCTGGGGCACAATTGAGATACCACCTCACACCCATTAAGATGGTTACTATCAAAAAAACAGAAAATAGGGCTGAGCCTGTGGCGCACTGGGAGAGTGCGGTGCTGGGAGTACAGCAGCGCTCCCGCCGCAGGTTCGGATCCGCAGTGCGGCCGGTCACAAAAAAGACAAAAAAAAAAAAAAAAAAAAAACCCCAGAAAATAATAAGTATTAACAAGAACGTGGAAAAATTGGAACTCTTGTGCACTTTTGGTGAGAATGTAAAATGGTGCAGCTGCTATAGAAAACAGTACAGCAGTGCCTCAAAAATTAAAAAATAAAATTACCACATGATCCAGCCATTACACTTCTGGGTATAAACCCAAAAGAACTGAAAGCAGTGTCTCAAGCAGATATTTGAATACCATGCTTATAGCAGCATTATTCACAATAGCCAAAAGGTGGAAGCAACACAAATATCCGTCAACAAATGATGGATAAGCAAAAGGTGGTATGTATATACAATGGAATATTATTCAGCCTTAAAAGGAAGGACATTCTAGGGCCGAGCCCGTGGCACACTCGGGAGAGTGAGGCGCTGGGAGCGCAGCAGCACTCCCGCCGCGGGTTC